TTGGTGACTGGGCGTTCGCGGAGGTTGGCGGTTGGGTGGGAGAGGAGGTTGGGGTGGCCGAGGGAGCCTGAGCCTGGTTCTTAGCCTGGGTTGGAGCCTGAGCCTGATTCTGGTTCTGCTGCTGCTGAGCCTGATTCTGGTTCTGCTGCTGCTGAGCCAGAGCCGAGCCGGCGACGAGAGCCAGGGTCATGAACAAGACGAAAGCAGAGCGAGCCATGGCCATTGTGAAGCTGGTGAAAAGGAGAAACACAGAGAGAGAGAGAGAGAGAGAGAGAGGAGGGTTTGGTCGGATGGGATGTGTGGTAGCTTTTGCCTATTTTGCACACTTGTGCCCTACTCTACTTCTGTCCTAATAAGACATTTATGTGGGTAAACATACACGTGCCAGTTTCTATTATTGCAAACAACACATTTAGGATGCATTATGGGGGAGCTCAAATCCCAGCCGTCCACATTCAGGAATTTTTAGAAACCCGTTTGTTAAGAATGGCGATGCCAATTCCAAATCTTGATGTAACTATTTTTTCACCTTACTTTTATTAGCTGAAAACTACCACGTTATTAATTATTTCTTCATTTTTATTAGCTTTTTTATTATTATTAAAAATGATACAATTTCCTTTTCTTTTTTAGGAGGAGCATTATTTCCGCTCTTTAAAGTATTCGCCATCCAAGAGAGTTTTTTGGTTCTTTTTCTTCTTTTTTTGGGCAAAAAGAGTTTTATGGTTGAGAGATAAAAAGAAAGAGGAGGAATAAGGTTTAATTTATTTCAATTTGGTTTTTTTTTTTTTTATGATGTAAGGTCTCTTTAAATGGCATTCATCTATACCAATGAGAAGTTTACATTCTGTTAAAAATTTCTTCTTACAAGCTTCCAAACATACATAAATTCTTTCAAACACAGGTATGCATGAGACCTAGCGTAAACACTCAACTCAAAAGCCTTATCTAATTAATTACAATCAAATTAAGATCAATTAAAGAATAATAACAACTTAAGTATTTATGTTAATCATGTTTTACCAAAATGTAGGTCTATAAAATGGGACGGGCAGGGCAACCCAAACCCTGGTTAATTTCATTCTATAGACATCCTCTCATGATCGCTATATGTTGAAATGAAAGTTCAAACTTTGTGTAAATATGGTTTCATTTCAACGTATGCCATTCTGCATGATATGATAATGTCGCAAGGCAACTAACAATAATGCAACCAAACTGCTTTGTTTGGGCTTTGAGTACGTGGCCACCATCCTCGTACATGTTCCATTAGATTCCCCATTAGAAAGGTTTGATGGTTTCCAGCATCCACGTATCCAGGGGCGGAGCTATTCATAGGCCTGAGATGGCCTGGGCCCCCCCAACATCTTCTCACCTCTTTGACTGTATAATGAGTGTAGTATAGATTGCACAAAAAAATCCCATAGTTTTAAGCTTGTGGCCCCTCTAAATATCAAACTCTACCTCCGCCACTGCACGTATCACTTCCGATTTGGAAAATGAAACGCCACCAATGTCCCATCATTTAATCAACGGGTTATTATGGAAATGTTAATTAAGCACGATTGCATTTTGATTCCACATAGGGATTAGCAAATGCGATCATGCCAAATATTTAAGATTAGTTATGTGTCACGATGTAATTGCAATTTGCAACTGAATTAACCCCCCCCCCCCCCCCCCCCCCAAAATATATATATATAGAGAGAGAGGAAACGAAGTTACCATTATTATTATTATTACATGATATAGGCGAATGAAAGTACACCCTTAAGCAATATTAGAATATGTCTTGAAAAAGGAATTAGAATTATGAAAAACGATAAACGATAAATTTTAAAATGAAATTATTAAATCATCATATGGTGTTATCAATTCAAATATTGGTTCTATGATGGTACGACCTTAAAATGATTTATATGCTTTCATCAAAGAGACTCATAAGCGTATCAAACATGTCCACTTAGTCTTGACAAGATAAAAACCAGACATGTGATGTGACTGTATATTGCTCATAAGGTAAGAATGATTAACCATTTAAGCTTAGCAAGCAACTAATATTTACATCGGCGCATCAAAAGGCAGTAGTATATATGGAGAACAATCATTCTTAGCCAAAGAAGCAAAGCCACTCATCGAAAATAAGCTTGTCTGTCAATCTGTCATATGATGCTTTTGAAAACGTAGAAAAAAGCTTTGGTGACCTTTTATATATATATATATATATACATATATATAGAACCCTAGTTTTTTCTCAAAAAAAGAAGGGAGTTTCACTAAAACACCCAAAATTGAAATTGAAATTATAAAAAAATTCAACACCCAAAACACTTTATAAACACACCCAAAACCCATCATTACACACACTCAAAACCCATTTATAAACACACCCAAAAAATATACAATTGTTGACTTTGGGGTTGATTTTGGGTGTGTTTCTATGTTTAAATAGTGCTTGGGTTTTTTTATAAATACATGTCTAGGATTGGGTTTATTTATAAATTTGTATAAATGTATGTAAAAAAAGAAACATAAAAAAAAAAAATATAGAACCCTAGTAGCTGCTTTAGCTACATGAAAAGAAGTTCATAGAAGTAGGGTTTGATATATATTTTGTAATTAATTTTTTTTTTTGGGTATAAGGTAAGTAGGGGACCAACGGAGGCACATCATTGTCAAAAAGCTTAGTTGTCATGTCACACTGGACCCAAATTTGTGTAGTTTTTTGAGATTTTCGTGAAAGATCAAATCTTTTACCAAGGCAGGAGGGCAGTAGAGCAGGAGAGCAGGACTGAAGGCTCATCTTTACAAGCCTTACACATCAATGTAAGTTTTACGGGCTATTTTCACCAATCAATGGGACACAGAACAGAGTCGTACACTAACAGCTGGTGCAAATGGGAAACTTACAAACCCTTGGCTTTGCCTCTCTCTCTCTCTCTCTCTCTCTCTCTCTCTCTCTCGTATTATGTAATTCACGTGGTGAGAGCTGTAAACAGTGTATATTCTTCATCGAAAAATAAATAAATACACGTTATAAGAGCGATTAACACATAAAATGCCGAGTGTATGTATCTGTAGACTGTAACAAAGAAGTTTCGGTTATGGAGATATGGTCACTTGGTCATCATAATCTGAGAGTGAGTCAATTCTTGGCTCTGAAGACAAGCAGACAATTCTCTCTCTTCAGTGTTCTTGATGAAGATGGCTTGTCTAATTGTCTGGTACTTTATCCACCAATATCACCATGCATATCAATTACAATCATGAAAAAGGAGAAGCACTAAAATACCTCCACCATTATTTCTTAATCTGAAACCAATGTGGAAGACCAAACTTATATATCACATATATGAACCCAAAATAATAATAATGATTAACAAACACAAAAATTTATCATTTTATGTCAGCAACACTTAAGCAGGGAGGTGCAATAATAAATAGACGCTTTTATTCCAATAATTTGATAATTAGAGTAATCTACACATACACCAAAATAAATTCGAAAAAGTTTCGGATAATGAGCGACAAGTATTTCATTTTGTTCATATTTAGTTTCGTTGTGAACCTAATTTATTTCTAGTAAGTAATACACTATCATCGTGTAATCTGTCATATCAAACTACAACTTATGAAATAGGCTAAATTGTAGCAATGGTTCTTAGATTATACCCCAACTTTACTTTTTGTCCCTCACATTATTTTGTTGTTACTGTGGTGTTTCAATTAGATCTCGTGTTGCATCATTGGTCTTTCCGTCAACTTAGTTAAATTTCTTGTCAAAATTAAGGGCAAATTGGGAAATTCATATATATATATGTATTTCTCTCTCTCTCTCTCTCTCTCCTCCCCTCCTGGGCACTCTCCCTCTTCCCCCGACGATTTCTTCTTCCCCCATTCCCCATGACTACCACCTGCAAGCTCCAACCCTCAAACTATCCCACAGCCACCCTCTACCGTAGCCGCAACCCCAGCACCCACGAACCCAAAACCCCAGCCCTCATCGTCCACCTTAGATCTGATCAAAACAGAGAAGCAGAGGGTTTATGGGTATCTAGGTGGGCCGCTTGCATTGTCTGTCCCATTTTCATATATTCTTCTTGCATTGGTTTTTGATCAAGTCCCCTTCTCACCCATATTTCTTCTCCCGCCCACCAATTTCTTCCCAGCCCCCACCAATCATTTAAACATGGCTTTAGCTACACAGCCCACCACCAACCTCCTCCAAACTCCCTTCCTTGGCCTCTATAGGTTACGAATGGATGGGTTGTTACCGGATTCTTTTTCCCATATATGGTGTTTTGCAGTTCAAATGGATATTGGGAGGAAGCTTTAGAAATTTTTCATAGTTGAGAGTGAACCTCCGACCTAATTGGGAGAGGGGGAGGAATCGGGCTAAAGAGAGAGAGATATTATTCGATTTTTTTTTTTTAAATTTTGTGCGAAAATACATTTTTGCCCATATCAAGCAGGACTTGTCAATATCATGTCAACATTTTTAACGGTAAATTTGACAAAGATGACGGCAAAGACGGTTTCTGTAACTAGAGGCATAATTAAAGTACCATGGTAACAACAAAAAATGTAAGGGACGAAAAATAAAGTTGGGGTATAGTTCAAGGAGCATTGCTACAATTTGGCCTATGAAATATTTTGATCCCTTTAGAATGTTTGTTAAGCACAGGGGCTCTCTGCAATTATTGAAGTAATTACACGCTTTCATAGCTCCCTGCATATGGTTGAGGCTGGCTGTTCCTCCTTATTGGTGGGGAATCACGGTGATCTACTATAAATTCGAAACTACTTTACTAGTCCCATTGACATGAACATGCATTTCTACAGCTCAAGGACTTCAAAAATAAAAATATATATCTTGTTCTAGTTTGAAACCAGCCGTATCCTTCAGTCATCTTCCAGATAATCCAAGCCATCTGAAAAAAGCGGCTTCTGAAGTTATGTCATCATTTTGCTTCAAGAAGAATTGAGGAGTAGGGGGCCATGTTATACGTGCTTTTGATGCCTGGGACGCCGTCAAGCACGAAGTCATTGGGAGACTCAAGATTAGTGTCCACCTGCAATTCAACAAGGCTGCTTGTTAGTGGAGTTGTTTGGAAATGGGTAACAATGATGGAGTTGAAGAAATGAACAGATATGCTCCATTCAATTGAACGGAAATGCCAATCTATAGTGCTTTTTCAAAGCTCTACATTGCAAAGCAAACTATGCAGGTTATCAGTGAACAAAATCTAGAAAACAAGGGGTTATGTACTATAGAATTGGGAAAGAACCAACCACACGAAACCATCTCCTCTTTACTGGTGCTGCGGGTATTGGAACCTTAATAAAATAGTCATGAGCATTGAATGCCATATAGACGTCTCCTCCATTATTGTCATGAAACCTGCAAAACAAATATTTCAGCTGCGTGTTTTAGATCCGTTTCACACGTTCAAATTCAAAACCTTGCAGTTCAGGTCCATTTTTCTAATAGATCCCAACATTTTTTAGTATTGTTGAGTCAATCTGTATCCTCTTCTCTTACTGCATCTCCAAAGATTTATCATAATATATATACTTTTTTTTCCCAGTCAACTTCTGTGAACAAAATCATACATATTTTGATCTAATTAAATTAGCATGAAAGTGATCCATCCCAGTGAGATTCTGGATCAACAAGGGAAGCCTAAGAAGCCATAAGGACTGACAATCGATAATCTAATATAATAATAGGCTACTCCAATTAAACCATAGCTAATTTCATGTATCCCCAGTTCCAATCAAGGCGGTCTTCAACACTATCTTATGGCAGGACACTTGTCGAAACCTGCTCATAATTGTTGTATGGAACTAATCCAGGGGAAAGCAAAAGTAGTATCTCACTGCCTTAAGGACATTATAAAAAGCCTTTATCCAAAGGAAGAAAGAAAAGAAAAATAAAAAGAAACTGTAACAACAAAAGCTAAAAACACGAAATGTTATGCAGCTGTCATGTAAAAACGTCCAACACTGTGTTGTTGGCCGAAGGGGGAAAAGGATCAGATGCTTTTCTATGTGGTAAGTACCCATGCTCAGACAAACATGTATGATCATGAAAAGGAACAGCCATTACATAAGTCCAAACCATATCAGTGACCAACGGCCATCTAAGTAACACATGGACTACTTAAAGCAAGCACCATCACTTGCTAAATTACTCATGAATTTGTTTTTGTAATTCAATGAGCAAGATCATGATGTCAAGGCCACTGAACACTAAAAATACTGTCGCAGCCCCCACTTGCAATATCTTGAAAGAAAATTCAGATTACGGTATCTCAAATATCTATATTATACTAAGAAGATAGGTGTAATTCCATACGTAAATGCAAGGAATTTGCTTTCATAATTGTGCCAGTTGTCTTCATGCCATGTCACGTCATTCTGCACAAGTGTCCAATGAGTCTTAGAAAAAGTGGATGCTTAAAGTTAAATTTAAAGCATGAAAGAATCGGAAATAAGACAAAGGCAAAAGGAGATTACTTTCTCAAGAAATGTATCACGACCAAATACACGATGTGTTCGTCGAAATTTTATCACCTCTTTGAAAAACCTGAAGTGATTGCTGTTGCGTGCCTCCAACTGCCATGCCAAAAGATTATTCCATGCTAGTCATCTAGATTAAAGCTGAATGGAAGCCATAACAAAAATAATTTACCAGTCCCCACTGGAAATGGTTAATAGCAGTATCATGTCCATAACTGTTGTTATTTCCATTTCGACTATGCCCATATTCATCCCCCATCAGCATCATTGGTGTCCCCTGGTTATATACATTCAAAAAAATTCATCAGCACTAAATGTTCACTAGTGTTATGTTACAAGTGAAGTCTTTTGGGGATATCAAATGGAGTCAGAATTCCAAAAGTAATGTTCTAGCAAGAGTACTTATCAGACAGAAGGGTAAAAAACAATTTGCTGTCAGTCAACACGAAGAATGAAGACTCATGGATAATCTCAAGTAAAACCTGAACTTTGAAACCACTGAACTCAACAAGTTCAATATAATTTCTTAACTATAGCTCAAATGAAAAGTATGCATGGATATGATGATATGACACATGAAATTAAATTTTTAATGAATGTACCTGAGATATCATTAATGCCAAATGAAAATTTTTCATTTGTCGGGAACGTATAGCTTTAACAGTAGAATCATCAGTTTCTCCTGTCGAATAATTGCAGATAAGATCAAATGGCAGAGAGAGAGAGAGAGAGAGAGAGAGAACATATGGCAGAGACAAAATATATTTTTCTTTACTTAAGCTGTACCCATTCATATCCTACATGGCAAATTGTACTAAAGAACTGTCCATGTCCCATCTGCAGGAGTAAGTTTGTCTCCACTTGAACAATAAATGCACAATTCTTGATATTGCACTTGCACCATCTATTGTTTGCTGTGGTTTTACATAAATATGCATAAACATGAACAGTTCATGACTACTTGATACTATCATTGTAGTTCGTATAAATTTTATTTCATTTTCGAGTTACGACACTAAAACTTACACCACCTAGGAACTCAGGAAGTTAGCCAAGATGACAAACAACAGCAGATCTTGGGCTTTGATAGACCAAAGAGATAGCACAGAGACTTTTTGTCAGACGTAGAACTAGCACTACAAGTCTTTGCAGATAGAAATAGAAAGACACTAACAGTTTTGTGCATTTACTTGATTTTCACAACTTGATACACCATATTAGTCATGATGACAAAGTGACAGACTAAAGAGATAACACATAAGTTATTCAGCAAGGATCCTTGATAGCATGTCTGAGAGAACTGTTATCTCATGCAATACAGTGCTTGTAATTTGTACATGATAATTTATATCACCTTATCTGTATATTTTTCTGGATAAAACAAATGCTGAAACCCCTGTACTCTGAGTTCTGACTAATACATGCTCCCCCACAATAGCATGAGAATGAAAATGATCAATTTTGATGCCCCATAGAGTTAACAACAAACTACCAGTCCTCACAAGTTTCAATACATTAAAGCTAGAATTATTACAAAATATATCAAGGAGCAAGCATCAAAGTTTAGCCCCTACCTTCGTAACCACAATTCCAGCTCAAATTATCACTACTTCCATCATTTCCTCCTTCTCCATTAGCATCATTGTGCTACAAAACCAACAATCAAGGGAAAGACCGCATCACACAGGCTTCAATAAATGACGAACTGATGGCTTAAAAATGTTAAAGTACCTTGAAATTGTATGAAACAAGATCATATAGTGTGAACCCATCATGCGCGACAACAAAATTAACACTGTGATAAGGCTTGCGCTTATTCACCTGTGGAGTGAGTGAAAATTATGAGAGCATGAAACTAGAGCTTCCATTGAATGTAGCAGCAGCACAGATTACTAAGAACACAAATTGTATTTACCACAAAAGATGTAAAACACTGATACAGACTTTCAGCCAAACATATTGCTAATAATAGAGAATAAGAGGGAAGCTAGATGTTTGTTACTGGATAATAGTACACTCAAGAGAAGCCAAAAATATTTCAAAGATTTTGATCAGGACCAAGTAAAATAATTCAAGATCCAGATGATGATATTGACAGGTACCATCATAAGACATGAGGGTTTTGGGGTGCTGTAGAAACAAGAAAGATGCAGGGCTACCTAAACATGAAATATAAGGCATTCGGTCCTTTTGATTGTAATTGGGTTATTCCAGTCGAACTTGAGCAATAAGTTCTCAAACCAAGTAAACCATCTCCAAGTTCAACTTAGTTGATTTTCTAAGCTGGGAGTATTAACCCAGTTGAAAATAAAAATATGTACAATGAGGCCTGCTTAACAAGTTTGCATGGCTGACATCAATAATACCAAATTGATAGTAAAAAAACATGGAAATGGAATTAAATGGTCAACAGTCACGATACAGCCATATTAATGAAAAAACTAATGCTTACTTTGTAAAGATCAGCAGATCCAGAAACACGAGTTGCAAAACTTCCTTTCATACCAGAGTCGCCCTGTATAAAGAAAATTTAACCAAAGATCTGAAAAACAGGAATACATATTTTTATATATTATATAGATGTATATATACGTATATCTGTGTGCATTATGGAATTTAAAATCTAAATGTGCTTTAGTTGCTAAACCACACAGTTAGAATCAAGAAAGTGGAACTAAGAAGGTTGAAATAATAACAATAATAAAAAGGTTAAGATCATGCCAGGAAAAAGAGGGACGCTGTAAATGCAATGCTCAAAGAAAGTTGATATTAGTCAAGACTCGAGAGAAAGAATCAACTAACAACCACAACTTATTGAAATATCAAGACACTGAATAGAATTTTATCTTACCGAAATTCATCCAATTGCATCAGTTTATAACAAAGCTTCAAACAATATCCATTGATCTAATTAACCGAAAACCTATTCACATTTATGCACGCCCTTCCTCATCAAATTTAGCCCTTTTTTGGATACAGAGGAGATTCCTGTGAACCATAGTCTATACACAGACTTCAATGTTTGCTTTTACATCGGTTCTTTTACTTTGCATGAAGGTTAACAGTGTGAATAAGTTATAGACCCATCTAAGCAATACAATTATCATCTCATGGAAATACCTTTATAAATCTCCTTAAGTCGTCACGGTATTTCCCATTCCATTCTGCCCACCTGCATTTAAAGGAATCTCATAAGTAATGGAGTTGAACAATCCAAACTTCCACAGGAGCAAGCCTTCCAATGTTACTTGATTTCATGTCATCTTTTAACTACTCAATTACTTAGAATCCTAGTTTATTTATAAAATCAGTCAGACCAAAAACAAGAACTTTATTTATAGAAGCATACGCTCCCATCCAGTTTTACAGACTTGTTAAGTGATGCAACGAGTATCCTTATTTTCTTTTAATAAGATTAGATTGTCATGTTGTTCAATAAGAATCATCCTTTTGATGGAGATGATGAATTATAACTCTTTCCTGACAAGTTAGATAATTCCCAAAAGAGACAGGAAGAAAAGCACAAAATCAGAGGTTAAGTCTAAAAGAGGCTAGAATAGAGGCATGTCCCCTTTTTTTTATACAAGGGAAATAACTTTTATTAATGATAAATATGATTCAATAACAGGCTTAACAGTCTCTCCCGTATCACTACGATGAAATGTAAATTTGTAGCATAGATTACCTGTCCCAATTTGGAAATCTTCCAACGAGATAAAGGCCTCCACAGTCCCAAGGTTCGGAAATAATTTTACATCTTGATAGGATGGAATCTTTTGCAATAGCCTGGTCCAACAAAGAACACTAAGTCAATCCTCACACAACTAAACTTCTAGAATCTTTATGCAATAACTAGAAGGCATGTCTGTATAAACTCAACAGATAGAGAACATAATTCACAACTCACAGGTAATGCGTCATATCAATGACCATTGACCACAAACTTGTAAGTGTATGAGTAACAACGGATATCTTTAGAAATTCATAATAGCCAAGATCTTGATTTCGAAATTAGATACATAGAGAGAATATATGCACACTAAGCTAGATAAATCAAACTACTGTCAACCATCCAAACAAAAACACTAATGACTTACCCTAATAACTGGTGGTGCACTAAGCGGACTTCCATCTGATCCCCGACAAAGAACACTGGCAAGGTCAAATCTAAATCCATCCACATGATATTCAGTGACCCTGAAAATGTGTAACAAAAGAGGGTATGAAGCTTGAAATGAACTATCTATTCATCACATAAATTAACAAATAAAGACAATGTATGAATCGTGTCCTTACCAGTGTCTTAAGCTATCTATTATGAGCTCCATGACAACAGGATGGTTACAGTTTAATGTGTTCCCTGAAAACCAGCAGAAAAAAACTTAAGACCTTCATATGCTAACAATAATAGTTTTAACCTTCATTCTAGAGAAAAACCAATCCTGTTTTGCTTCCAGAATCCAGCAGTAAAGTCCAAAAAGTTTGTTCTCTATTAAGTTTCATTTATAGTAAAATACATATACCTTCTCTTCTTCATTGACATATCCATTTTCATATCATATAAGAAATAAACATACCAGTACAGCATTATATAAACATCCCATAAACTTTTCCTCACTTCATGCAAAATAAACATACCAGCAGCAATAAAAGACAAAACATACTTCATTTGTAAGAAATGGATGGAAAAGCACCATCAGAATTTCCATACAAGAAAGACAATTGATAGGAGTAGGAAGTTCACTTAATATATATCTTTAGAAGAAGAGATAAGGGGTAAGAAAACAGTCAGGAAAGACAATTGAATTACCGCAGCCGGAGAAGTTCAGTAATTGCCCATTGTTGTTTAGGTCCAGCATGTAATAAACCTGTAGATGTAGGACGCGTCATTTATAAAGAAAAATATAATATTTATTCATACAAAATTTTATTTCGAAAAATAAAATCCCAGTGTTTTAAAGAAGTTGTAATTAAATAAAAGATTTAAAGCCATACTAAACTCTGCCCTAAAAAGAACAATAATTAAGCATCACCTTATTATCTATGCCACGAAATGAAGTGGTATAAGGGTTGGCGTCATCAGCTTCATTAGTATGATTATAGACAACATCCAAAATGACCTGTACCAAAAAAAAAAAAAAAAAAAAGGTTTAAAAACTGCAAAAACAGGAAAATTGAAAAAAGATGTAATTTACCCCTATCCCACCCCCACCAAGGTTTCAAAACTGCAATAACAGGAACATTGCAAAAAGATGTAATTTACCTCTATCCCAGCACCATGCAAGGCTTTAACCATTTGTTTAAATTCCTGGGAAGCTTTAAGGGGTCCTCCACCATCACTTGCATAGCGGCTCATAGGAGCAAAGAAATTTATTGTTGAGTAGCCCCATGTATTTATCTTCAGAGACATTGGTAAATTAGATCACTCGGCTTTTTCAGAGCTCAATCGAAATAACTACTGCTACGTGTTTTAACTTTTATATAAACATTTCAGTTGAAAACAGGAGAAATTGGTTTAGTTACCATGTGATCTCTAGGATTTGGTCGCCTCTGAAACTCAAACTCATCAAATTCAAAGACAGGCAGCAACTCCACTGCATTGATACCAAGCTCTTGAAGGTGTGGAATCTTAGAATTAAAATGGAGGGAAAAACGTCAGAGAAGTTCATCATATCAAAACAATTAAATAGCTATTCTTCTATTCAAAGAATGTTAAATGATTGGGATAACTCTAAGCACATTAGACAGTATATGTTGTCATTATTCATGATTTGTCTTCAACTTGCCACGCATAATTTCATGTGAGAAAGCACTTGATACATTCGCATTGTAAATCATTTCTTTCAGAACATTAGAATCCAAGCCCCCTTAGAAGTTCACTAGTCTTGTCTCATGGAAACTGTGTCCAGCCAGAACAATTTAGCAAGAAACTCAATTTTTATTGCCTGCACCTATGGGTAATTGGGCATCACTCAAACAACTATAATATTTAAACCAAATCCTAAGTTTTTGATGATTAAAAGAGCAGTTAAGAGGTAGTAAATAAAAACCTAAGAAATCCATATATGTGTTTCCAGGTAATTCTGAAGTGTTGCTTGAAAACAAAATAAAAACAATTGAAATTGCTAGAAACACATCCAAAATTGTCATAAAACCAAGGTAAAGAAGGATAGAGTTGAAGGGAGTATTCAGATAATTGACCGAAAATATTGGACTTTTGTTTCAGCAGATGCTATATTGTCATTTATCTTGCTAGAATCAACTATTACCTTCTCAATCACACCAAGGTAGCTACCACGAATATCTGGATCCAGACCACTGGATTCAGAGGCTGTAAATGCACGAACGTTCATTTCATATATAACAAGATCCTTCTGAAAAAACAGAAGCAAACATACAGGTTAAGATGTAACAAGATGAAGCATCAAATTTAATTTGGCCCAAAAAAACAAAGGAAAATAATTTTTAAAACGAGAATTAACTCCTATCACCCATGAGTACATGTATTTATGTATATGCAGTTATGAGTTTTCTTATCAACCATAAGATCTGATGTCGAAGAGAGAGAGAGAGAGAGAGAGAGAGAGAGAGAGAGAGAATTCCAATCTGATTGAACAAATGCGTCAAGACAACAATTTATCCTATTTACTGCATGACAAACATATATAGAAACTTATTTACCTCAGGTATATTTGGGAGCTTGTAGTTGTCTCCCCAAGCAAAAGGCAAGCTATCAAAATCATAAGTTCCAAGAAACTTAGAAAACTTTTTGCTGCTATCTCCAAAAAACCGGCGGCCATCAACCAGCTTTGCGTAAGGATCTATAAGCACAACTCTGCTGTCAAATCGATGCCCCTCATGCCAACCTCGTGGCCCATCCATACGATAACCATAGAGAACATTGCTCCGGGGCAAATCCTGTAAAGATATAATTTCATTATCATGAGTGATGACAACTACATCAGGAGATACATTGCCATTTTCAAGGAAGAGAGAGAGAGGGAGAGGGAGACAAAGAAAGAGAGTTGTACTTGTTCAAGCTAAGGAAAACTTTCATTCTTGAACAAAAGACAGCACAAAGAAAGGTAGTGATTTGAGCAACGTAAATAAATAAATAAAATCAGTTACAAGCCAAATCAAATATTACCTTGATACATATGTGCCAAATGTCACCTGTCTTGTTTTCATTACGATCCAAAGAGAACTCCATCATTCCACCATCCACCCTTCCAAGCCTTTCCTTGACAAAAATTATATTCATGAAAAGCATGAGTCTGGGAAAGTCAAGAAAGAGTATCTACAAAAAGGGTGGAGATGATGTCCATCTAAAACGAAACTACAGTCTGAACTTAAACAAGAAACTAAATTGCATTCAGGTCAAAGCTCCCTCTAATCAAGACAAAGATGCCCAGGTGAAGTTAAAAATCTACTTTGTACCATTTCCTATAAAAAAAACATGTTAGTTCCAAATAAAGTCAAACTTCATCCACCTTATTATCAATTGCACTTTTTTTTTTTCCACCAAACACCCACATTGTAACTGACTCCGAACTACACCAAAGGATGATTGTCCTTTTGTTAGCCCCTATATTAAGTAATATTCCACCAACAAATTTCTAGGCCAAAGCCAGACCACTACAAATATGCATGAACCTAACCCAGATTTTCGTTGTGGACGAAGTTGATGGACAATGCACAAAAAAATAATATATAATATATATAATGAAGAGCACTCTCCTCCTCTGCTTTACACAACACACAACGTGGAGATACAGAAAGGGTCTTCGTTTTTGGAGCTTGTCACGGACTCACAAGTAGCCACCAACCATGCAAGAATTGGCCCTTTGTTGAGTACACCAACCTTTCAAAGCATCTTATATGACTCGAAAACTTGAGAAGCAGTATCTTCTACCATATAATGAAAAAAGGATTCACGGAAAATGTCCCAGAAGCATGAACAGACGAATATCTTGCATCAGACTGGCTCAGATTCAAGGAGACTTTGTCGTTTTGTGAAAAATCATCTGAAATTTTTTCAGAATCTCCATCACTCTAGTTCCTTCAAAAAGTTAATTTAAGAAATGTCCCAATGATTTGAACAGGAAGCAAGGGAAGAAATGGTTGCCTTATGAATCAGTCCATATGACAAAGATTGAAAAGATGATTCTGTACTTTTTTTTTCGTTTAAGAGAGATGATGATTCACAGTACCAAACACCTCCCAGTCCAAACCACAAATTTCAGAAACTAAGACAGAGAAGAAATATCTAAATATAAGTATTTTCAAGGGCGCCTGAAAAACCTTTCTCTACAATAGCATACCTGATCTATGACAAGAGAATATGCCCTGAATACATTTATACACACACACGCAGCATGTGCACACACACACACACACACACACATATATATGACTGTAAACAATTGAATATTAACCAATTAACTAAATGGAAATACGGTGTCACCTCTCTGGAAGTGATAAGCAAAGTGTGACAGCAGTTGCATGCTGTGAAAAGATAGCAAAATTAGTCCCACTATCAACTTCTGATACACCCAGCGGAAAAGCTTGACCTGGAAAAGTTTTCCATGATGGACTGGTCTCTGACATTTGGAGGGCCTCGTCCTATAATCACAAATGGTGAACACATGAAAACATTGAATGCTCCCCTTCCGGTATGGTAAGAAAAAGGAGATAAGGGAAGAAATCATTGATCATTTTCTTGATCTGACATTTAGATGGAAACCACCACTGAATGGTAGAGGTCTTATGGCGTTTGTGAATGTAATTAATTATGTCTACAGTCTCTTACATAATCTGGAAGTTTCAGTCAGAAAATAAATAAGGTAAAACATATGATCCTACATGATAAGAATTACCTCAAGTACACGTTCTTGAGCACGCTGACCGTAAGCATTAGCTGTTCTATGCTTGACACAATCCCGGGTCTAACCTATGCCAAAGTCCAACCATACAATCAACAACAGTGAAAAACTAAAATATGAAGGTTGATTTCATTGCATTATACAAAGATAAACATGCCTTGGCAATTCCTTGCTGATTGCTACCCGATACTTGTTTAATCAACTTCAATCTAATAAAACATTAACAAACAAATCAACAATAACCCAATTGGTTCTTCACAAATCAAAATAGCACCATAACATCAAACTAGTCATTCCAGCTTAGAAGACAACACTTTCACCATGTCCTATCATTTATTATCACTATACAGTATACTACTAAATACTGGGAGTTTCACTGCTGCAAATACATTTTGGTAGAATTCCATGATATTTTTAAACTTGAAAGTTGAAAGTACTCAATTTTATTAAGTTAAAACAAAAACCCACCAAAGTTTATTCCTTAAAATGGACTCCAAGAACTTAATAGGAACAGAAATGGAAATCCAAACCATTAAACTGAAAATTCAATCATTAGAATCATTAAGAACCTGTTAGACTACAATGAGAGGAAACAATACACAAAAGGAAGAAAACAGAGATGTAGAGAAAAATTACCCCATGTCAAGGACAGGAGAAGCTACAGTACATGAAGAGCCATTGTGAGAAGAGAATGGTGATGCAAAGAGAGGGAACTTAGCGACATGTGAATCGTACCAATGTGGGGTTCGAAGCATTTTGTGATCTTTGTGGACTGATGATGATAAAAGTTCTGAAATTCTGAAAGAATATTGAACCCAAAGGGAATCGAATTCCAGAGAAAGATGGTGGCTTGAGAAAGGAAGAACCAAAAAGGGAGGACCCTTAAGCGTTTTTTCAGCTACATAGAATGGAAGCTGGAAGTGGAAGAGTGGAAAGTCTGGAAGCGAGAGTGAGAGTTTGTATTTTTACGCTTTCTGGTTTATGAGGAGTGTATGGGGATCAAGTACAACTACCAAGTGCCTTTTCATGTCTGCCACGTGAACGGATGCGAGAGAGTTGGATCAAGTTTGATGCTGGGCGGGACACGTGTTTCATAATCTTTTATTTAAGATATCACATCCCCCCGTCGATTCGATCGACGGCCCTGCCACTGTAATTTGATGGGTCTTTCTTCTTAATATCTTCTTGTTTGTTTGTGCTGATTAGCTAGTGATGCGATTGAAAAAGTATTTACCGACGCCAAGGAATTTGGGTTTGTGACATACTTTCACGTTAAAAAGAGATATTGATCTGCTTAATGCTAGAAATGCCCAAACAAATCTCAAAAGTAAGGATATCAAAAAGATGTCACCTTCCATTTATTCACATTTAGTCTCTCTCTCTTAACCTCATTTATGGCCAAGTAATATCCTATCATTTCATTTGATGACTAAAATTAAAGAGCTTTCCCTCATGCGTAATGATGAAATCATTAAGCTAGAGAGGCTAAAATGAGGGGATCCTTAATAGCCATCCGATTCAATCCATAGTTATTATTGGACTGTTGAATTAAACCCCTCATTATAACCTCTCAACATAACCCCTCGTTATAGAAGCTCCCTCATCAAGCACTAAAACAGATTTCTTTCGAATTTGCTAATCATCAATTGAAGCCTAACATATAATTATCCTCATCCTCTTTGATGCATGGCATAACGGATCAAGGGAAAGGCAATCGAGAGCAAAAACGAAACATGTGGCTCAAGCTCATTGTCTACAAAACGCTGTTTAGCGTGGGATGTCAATCTTTTAGAGTTCAAACTATAGAACCTCCATAGAAGACATTTGATCATGTTACGGGAAGAACAGAGCACCATGTTCTTGGAAGAGGACTCAGACCTTACTCACTTGACAATACCCTTTTGCAGGAAATTGAAGCCATCCAGAAAAACATAAGAAAATAATAAAAACAAAAATAGATGCTAAATCGTATGAATCTTGAGTTGAACTATACAAACTATAAATCCCTTAGAAATAACCTTAAGAAATAATTTTTCTGCTTAATTGTGATCTTTCCAAAATAAACAAAACATACAGCCTGGTATTATTTGGTGTTACTTACAAGCATAACAATAAAATAAATACATTTATTTCTTCCACGAATTCATCCAAATAAATGAACATTTTTCCAACCATAATTAGCTAACATCAATTTTCCTTTTCCGCCCCACTTGAAAGAGGAGATCCACGGAACAACTTCTTCAAAAAATGAAAAAGGAAAAGACATCCTTCATAATTTTTCACCACATCATTTCGTCTACAAGTGTGACTCGTGTGAACTTATCACAGTGAAAAACTCACATAAGAAGTCGAGAGCAATTTTACCACACAATGCCTTTTTCTTTTCTTTCCTCAAGAATACTTTCATGTATTAATGAAAATTGCAGAAATAAATGTGCATAATTTTTTATCCCCACCTCCCTAAAAGAACAAAGAATAAAGGAAAGTAAAATGAAACAAAAGTGTGTATTGTTTAATTGGTGGGCATAAATCATCAGGATCTAAGCACCATGTCCACTTAAGTGTATATTTAAGCAAAACCATATATTCTTTTCACTGTAGTTACAAACCCGGGGTGTATCCATAATCTGACAAAGTTTTGTACGAAAACGCCTTCCTGCATTAATATAACAGGTATCAAGCAAGTGAAATTATAATAGAAACAAAAAGACAATAGACCTAGGAAAGGCGGATTTATGAGACGTAATAAAATATGAACCAATATTGGGCAAAGCAAAAGGGGAAAACTTACAGAGGTAGTCAGTTTCAGAAAGGAAAACCTTTCCAGTCAGTACTATTTCATAGACAGAAAATAAAGTTTTCAGATGCTGAACTCAAGAGCTTTGCACTTGATGACAGCAAAGAAATTTAATTTAATCTTCTTTTTTTTCAAATAAGGGCCCATGCACTTCAACATAAACAAGTGTCTCACAAAGTCTGCAAATAAATTTGAGGGGCGATACAATCAGATGTTCTTACCTCATCACCAAACTACTCAGTTTAGGTCTTTTACTAGGCAGCTAAAGAGAGCCAGAACATGGAATCAGGAAACTAATTTTAACTTCTTTTAAAAAGAAAAACAAAAAATGATCCTTGTCAAAGCAATCCAAGTAGATTGAAGATACATCAGATTTGACTACTGAAGCTGTCATTTTGTCCCCAAAGAAAAATAAAATAAAATAAAAGAAAAAAGAAAAAAAATTTAATTTAAGGTTTCAAAATAAAATCGTGATTCTACAAGAATACTAACTACACAGGTCATTTGTGACAGTTATGTCAAGCACAATCACGAATTAAAGAGATACCTGCAGAAAATTTTATTTTATTTTATTTTATTGGAACTCATCTGCAAAGATTACTAGTCATTCAATTAATTACATTAATCAATAAGAAACTCCTGGTATTTACCTTTGGACAAAGCTGGAGCTGATGCGCATTGACCAACCTCAAAGATGGGCAGACGAGCCAACTAATCAGAATAAAACAAGCATGAAGGACTTGACAATTCCTAATTGTTACTCACTAGTAACGTGATGAATTCTTCTATATACGCCATCCAAGCAAGATTCTATCATGAAGCCCTACTTTGTTGAATAACTGCAGAGGCAGCTGCTGCCTCTGCTATTAATGAGACTGGTTGACGAGCCTGTAGACAAGCACCTATCTCGAAGGGGTGCAACTCAGAGCCATCAAAAACAAGATTAACACCAGGAAGGACTACTTCTCTGCTGTCAGCTTCTTCTTGCTCAACTTTTGTAGTGCTAACTGGAGGGGCTTCTTCAACAGGCCTTGTGGCAGCCTCATAAACAGGAGATAGAGCATATGATCTAAATACCAGTAAATACAAAGGGGTTAGAGCAAGTTCTGTGAATACCATCATATACAAAGAAGCTAGAGCATATGATCTGAACAGCAGTAATTAAGAATTTAAAGCAAACAAATTGAACACAATCATATACAAAGAAGATAGAGAATATCATCTGAATACTATTAATAAACAAGTAGATAATTTATTATTCCTTATAAGGGTAAATCCATTACTTTTAAGAGACTTGTATGTGAGAAGCATCTATGTGTCCAAAAAAAAACACACAAACGTAAAAATGCATTATCCAGTGAAAGTTACATTGTTCATATAGTAAATACTGTAAAAACAAAAATCTGGTAGAAATAGTAAACAAACAGACGTTAGGGAAAGGAAATGGGATGCAAAAGGAGAATAGAGAAGCTTGACATAGACCTTAGAATGCTTCCATCAAAGCTCAAAACTTCAGTTCGGGAACGATGTCGGTTAGCAAGTTTGAGTCTCTGATGCTCACTTGAGGCTCCTGAAATGGGAGAAGAAGGGTCGACAAGTGGATTCCACCTTCCACTTGCATAATTCATGAGATGTCGTGAAAAGTCCTTTGACTGCTCTTTCTGGTAAAGAAGTTTAGCAGCAGGACCTGTTGCTTGGTACTCTGCACAAACATCACGCAACCTTTTCCGTAAGCTTTGCATTGCATCGTGATGTTCAGTGAGTAAATCTTTTTGAAGTAATTGCGATGAGACCACTCTTTTACATATATTATTGCATAATTTTGGACTAAACAGTGGCATCCCAAATTCGACACTCAATGGGACCCATTCAAACTTCTCATCATCAGGTGCAAAGTGGTCTGAATCTCTTTCTTTAAAAAGTTTCAACAAGCGAATATAGCCAACTGTCCACAACTCTATCTTGCTTGTCAAATCAACTAACAGAGAATTCAGTTTTGAACTTTCCTTCTCGCACATGTCCAATTCCTTCCCTATGCAAGCAACTGAACCATCAGAGTTCTTTAGGGGTAATGGAATATCCATAGTGATGATTCTTCCAGATTCATCAAGGTCATACTTACTGAGGGGCTGCACTAGTACGGCAGAGTATTTAAGAAGTGAATTTAAACAATGTAAAAGTATGCTTCCCTTTACCAGATTTCCTTCAAACTTGCCTCCCAAACCTCCAATTGTAGAACCATCCCAAGACCACAAAAGGGCTTTCTCACAACCAGCCAGTGGGGCAGGAAGCAAGCGTAAACATTGTCCTTTCATCAGAATAACTGATAGAGGTCCACAGGCCACAGTTGAGTACAATACTAATTTCATCCAAGGTGTCATGCATGAATAAGAGGGAGGACCAAAATTAAAAGGACCTGCTGGTCCAGGAAGTACTGACGAAGGTGGAAGAGGAATCATAGACACAACAATATCATAGTCACGACGAAACAGCCGATCTAAAGTTGCTGGTGCAAGAGACGCCAAGCTTTCACAGCGAAGGATATCCACTCGGAATTTATTTTTCCTCTTTAACATTTCTTTTCCAACATCTGACCCTTCATCACGCACCTCTTTCTCATTACTCTGCAGATTCAAGTCTGATTTAGGGACTTCAGTTAAGCTGGTGCTATCTTCTGATGAAGTACCAATTATTATTTCATCACTTCTATCACTAACAGGTTCAGCCAAAACAGAACCTTCCTGGGGCATCCCTGATTTCACAGAAACATCATCATCGAACCCAACTTCTTGCCCAGTCAAGTGTACTGATGTTTCAGTCAAAGTTACATCAGCTATGAGTGTGGCCTCATCGTTGTTTGAAGCTATCATATCCATGTTATTGCAAACTTCATCTGTTTTCACATCAGTTGCAACTCCTCCCGATTGAAGGCATTCCAGAACACAACGGAGGCTAAATGCATGATTTGCAAATTCCTGTAGTTCTCCTTCAAATTTTGTTCCCTCTAGTGTACTCAGATCCTTACAAAGATCCGTAATGCTAGCATGACCCAACTTTCCCGCTTCATAAAGAGTTACAGCATGAGATTTCAAACCTAGAAGAAAATATGATAAAACAAAATAAATATAAGACTCATGTAAAAGATTCAAGTTTGAAACCATTGCAGAATGCTGCTAAAATG